AGCGAAGATACTACTTGTATTTTAAACCAGCAAAACTCAGACGATTGGCAATATTTTTAGCAAAAACAAAATGTACGCATTTAACTTCTAGTACTCTTCAGGCTTTTCGGGAGACAAAACGATGATTTTTCCAATTCTCGAAGTCATGCAAAAATTAGTAAGTTGTTTAGATAGATTTCTTATCTAAATAATCCCTTACAACCCGACTAGATAACATTCGCTTCTTGCATTAGGTTTCGGTATTCGAAGAAGTTAATTGAGCGGTATTAATTGTAAAGTTGATTGAACCGAACTTGGATTAGAATGAATATACGTTTCTCATTATCGGATCCTTATCATACAATCAGTCGTGACATAGGCTGTAATCACTGTGCGATACAAAGATCTTTATACTTGACGTTTCCAAAACTCTCAATTGAAACGTGAATTGGATTACAAGGGACTGAAAAGTTCTAGCTGAACAGTTATCAGTGAATTATAATTCTCTTAAAGCTTTTTGAGCGTTGTGGTTGTTATCGCATATAAGTATTCCTCAGGCACGGAAAGAATCACAGAATAGCAGGCCGTAAACTGAACATTTTTTTGCATTCGTACTTAAGGTTCACTAAGCTAGGGCCTGTTATGTTGGTCATACACCCATAATTAGGGCCCCATAGAAGAACAGCCACTATCACGGTAGAAGATAATTCAAATTGCAGCACTCTAAAGTACCACATCGTTCGGACGTATTAAACGGACTGAAGTTTAACGGGTCCTTACGAGATGACAGACCCTCTCGAATATTTAGGACATTATGATTGACCTTTCGTTGTGGTTCAGCTTCGACCAGGCCATCGACTTATGTATACGAAACAGCTGGAAACTACCCTAGATCATTTGCCTTCATCAAATTCACTCAAAAACAAATGGTTCTTGGCACGCTTGTATTAACATGCCATTGGAGTTATAGCTTTGCAGAGAAGCGAAACCAGCCCTCTACCTGTGTGGCTAAATATAAAAGCTTGCTTTAACTACCATCAGACATCGTTATCTGTCAACGATATTCAGCATTGTCTCTGCAAATCGTAACGGGAGAAGCTGCAAGCGTCGCCGTTCTTGCGCTGCCTGTCCTTGGGGGCGTCCAAGGCTCCACGGAAGAGGGCGAACGTGGGAGCACTCGAGAAGACTTATCACACCATGGTAAGAAGAGAACGCTCGATGAAGCGTCACTTGTCGACAGAACCTCAACGAATAAAATGCCCCATGGACCGAAACACTGATTAGTACTGAGTCATGCAAATGCACTTGATGGTTGGCTGCAATCGAAACAAAGAGGTAAAGACAACGATTGGATGCTGAGACCGATCGATCTAATCATCTAAACAAAACACACAAAGCACTTTGTAGCCATTCTACTAGTGTCACATATTCGTGTAAAATAGTCGCTATGATCTACCTGACAAGGGTAAATGATCTAAACGTTCCTGGAAAAGGTACATAACTTGCGAAATCAATGGACGACAATAGCTCGGAAGCAGGCAAGGTGGTGCGATGCAGCGTCAAGCTACAATTCATTCTCGGGTTCGGAGATTTCATGGGATACCTAAGTTCTGAGTATGTGTGTAGGTAGGTAGAGACTATTGTAAGGCTGCAGCTCATCTTTTGGGCCGATTCCTGAGTTGTTTATCGTCCTTAAATTCAGAAAGTCTGCCAGGGCTACATTGTAGGTTCCGGACACCGTTTCCCAACTTGATAAACCGTTATTGAGCAGTCCTTTTAGCGTATACAGAGCAAATGTCCCGAACTGTTTCGGCGGGTTTTTGGCCAAGACGGATTAAATAATACGAGATGCACTGAATGAATAAGAAATGCGTTGAAAGTGCATTTTTTTCCACCTGAAGCTTCCTGTTTCGAGGAGCTCTTCCATATTGAGGTCGAATTCATATGAGATATCATTACAGCATTGATAGAACAAGATGAGCACGAATGCCCGACTAGACGTAAACAACAAGTAAAGCGAAGTTTGTTGTGTGTCAGACCTTTTTCGAAGCTAAGATTTGAATTGAAAGCAGGTAAGCAAAATATGACAAAAATTAGTAAATACCACATAGATCAACTACTATATGCTACGCAATTGTTTGAAGAAAAAAAAACGTACACGCTTTACTTAGCCTTTCCCTGGCATAGATCGTCTGCAATAGCACGTTATTTTAAATCATAGCATCACCAGCAGATAATCGACAGAACAATCTCTGGATACCGAGAAAAAATAACTACATATTGAAATGGAAAATTTAGCCGATATCATTATTTTCATTGTGAAGTTCTTAGTTCGTGCGTACTACCCTACTTTTTAAATACAAGGTAAACTTTGAATTTTAGGTGCAATGCAGTCAGCCAGCTACGGGGGAAGCAAATGTCTATTCTCCATTAAGAAAAAACCTCACATTTCCCAGTGTATTTATACACCTGGCAGAAGAACATGCGTTGCACACATGTTCCGTCAATGAAAAATCGCAATACGTCCAAACAGGAACTTTAACAGTTAGTTTAACAGCAACGAATTAGTCAACTTTAACAGTGTAAGACCCGCAGCCACCAAGTTTTCCAGTCGACCTGTTGATTGACAACATTCAACAGTATAGGTTGTTTCGATCTTCTGCGGATATCTTTTGGTTTAAATCTTTTTCATCGGTAACTTAGAAAATAAAATTAAGCTCAAAGGCTTTAAGGATGGCAAGGTACATTTAAACGTTGTTTATGTACGCCTATTTGCAGGTGAGGCGCGTAACCCGCCAGTATGTTTCCGCTGCAGGTACATGTTCTGTTTAGATTGGGGTCGTTGCTTTTCATGAATTCAAGTAACTTGCAGATATGGGATCTGGGCCACATCAAAAGGTTTTCATTAAAAAAAACAATTAGTTAGCTTGCTTTTCATTACTTGTCTACAATGCGATAAAGTCTTTTGGCTGTGCTTCTTTTGTAATTCTTCGAAGGGTACTCTTAAATTAAAGCTAGACCTAACTGTATGGGTTATGACACGGGTTAGACAACTGGTTAAGCTGGTTGACTAGCAAATGCCCAAGTCGATCATAAGGTTGCATATCCATAAAATCACATTATATCTCTAGTTCACTGTTTGGATTCAAGGAATTATGTATTGCCAAATGAAAAGATGCTTCGTCGCAATGAAGGGCCGACTGGGTCAATATTTGCATTAAATTGACCGCTTGATAATTAACCACTAAATAACAACCATAGCAAATAAACCAGGAAGTGGAATTACGCGCAGTATGTCGTCTAGGCAGATGTCAAGTTAATTTCCAGAGCCAGCGAAATCTTATCTTTTTCTCTTTCTATTCTCGAAAAATTTCCAGTGCAGGGCAACTGACGTATACTAACACGTCAGAAGTCGCCCTATTACATTCCCATAAAATAATTGATTTAGTATTAGGTAAACATTATCTTCTATATTATTTGCCATGCAGTAAATCAAAGGTTGAATCTAACATAATTGGAGTTTCTATTGCTCACTGCACTCTATTTCGGAGCCACGCTAAATTATTAAATTCTGCATCATATCTAACGAATTTATTGGTTAGATATGGTGCAGAATTAGAGTTTACTGTGGCCTTTTGAGTAATCACTGATGATATTCTTCACTAGCTAACGTGTAGATTTTGATCAGAGTATATAGTTCTAAGCCGATGTTGAAACGGCCGGATGAAACAATATCTCATAGTTGTTTAACAAGAGACTTCGAGCGGCAATGACAAATATCGCTTACAAGAACAGATCGACACAAGAAACATTTTTGGTCGGTAAAACGACCACGAACAGATAATAATAATAATAAAAACATGATCTTCCTTTTAAAGCTCGTACAAATGGTTCGGAAAACGACACACCTATTCGATTCTAACACGGCTTGACCTTTTCCGTGTGACGTCTTCCAGACGCAAGTAATGCTCACCAAAAGTCGTACCTCCCAATGATAGCGGTAGTGCAAAATGCAATCAGTCGACAGGTTTCGTTCATTTACGGCGAATTACCGCAAGAGACTGAATGAACTGTCGGAGCCGCTTGCAGATCAAAGGTAATCCGGTAGCGGCTATGTTGATCATAGCTAGTATGCAGACAGGGTCACCTGTTCTAAGGAGAAGTCGATGGCAAAATAACGATATATAACTTGTTGTCCTTCGACGTTCGAAAGGTTAGGGTGAGGAACAAGCGAGACCAAATAAGAGAAGGATCGCTTAAAATTATATTTGTCAAATCCTTGGAGCAAGGAAGATCGCTCGTTGATTACGGTAGGTGCAGCTTAAAATCTTATGTAGGTTACTTCAACGAAACGGAACCAATTAGTTGATGAATTAGCTGATTGATGTACGCGTTTCGTGACAAGTAGAGAGATGGTTTTTAAAAATGTATTATGTGCGCTAATACAAACCAGCTATTCTTGACACAGCCATTTACGCTGTGCAAGGTGTACATATTTGTCACAGTATAAAAACACATTGATGCGTTTGAGAATATTGACGATCGCCGATCTTATGCGTAGCATGACTTGACCATGTTCGATATTAGTATTCGCAGAGCTCCTGACCGCGACGTCGAAGGACTTATAACCTGCAACAGCTTTTTAGGGAAACTCTTCTATTTCCTATGAATCCAAACCGAAACCACTGCTCACTCAACAATTGGCCTACTCGGCCATAAACGTCCTTTTTTTTTTATCATCGATAGTAAACGGTTTAGCTAAATAAAATTAGCTTATTTAATAACTGGCTAGTTAATTGGACGCATCGATTGATAAAATGATCGTCCGAAAACGACTAGCTTGGCAAAATATTTGCTGCAACACGACCGACCGAGGTTTCTTGCGAAACTTTATCACTATGAATTTAGGAATGATCAGTCAGAGACAAAATTGCTATATTACTACCATAAGCATAGTTAGTGAAACATTGCGAAGTGCGTGTGAAACCCTTCGGACAATTTTAAGGCAAAGGAGCCGGCCGCTTTCATCGTAATCCCCTACGGCACACATTTCCCTTTCTGTATCCAGCCGTCAATTTCGAAAGCTCGACGAGGCAAACGCAGCGTCATAAATTCTGGTTTTGGTAGTCTCGATGCTTTGCTTTGTGGCCGGACATTTGCACACCGAAGTGATACAATACACCATAAATAACGATATCGCCTTGGAAAAGTTCAAACAGACTGCAGATTTCTGATCAAACTTTGCACACATTCGTTCTCGCTTCGCGATGAAAGCTGTTTCAGGTCTTAACCAGCAGCCATACGAGAAGTGTTATCAGGAACATGTCCGCCTTACGGAGCGCAATTCTACTAGGATCCCAGTCGAACGTTATCGATACAAAGGCGGAACGCCTGGTTCCAACAAATACAAATGCTAAGCCAATATGCACCTGCGGCCTTTGCAGACCTGTCGGCCACAAAGTCGCTGGATGTAAGTATCTTCATGGGGAGTGAACTAATTTTTGGCTTAATTGAGGAACGTGTCAACGAAAATATGGAAAGTTCTATTTCTAAAGCGTATATCTGTCTATAATATTAGAATTTAGGACGAATTTATTTGAATCGATACGCGAGAAAACCCTAGACATTGACGGAAAGTGATCAAAAGGATGGTTTTGCTGGTAGGCTACACGCATTATAAATTTGTCTCCGACGGTTCGTACTATAATATAGCGTCTGCATGTAGGTGTGTGGTATTTTCTTTCGCCTATTCTATCGAAGTCTTTTTGGGACAAGTAGATATTTCGTCAGAATGGATTTGCTAGCTTGGCCCAGCTTTGTTGAATATGACTACGTCAATGCTTTAATGCATAAGTTTCAATATTCGTTTCTTTGATATAGTTTATCGTCTACGTTTAGGCTTAAGGGCGTCGGTAGCGGGCCTGCGGAAATATTGATCTTTTAATAAGGCCTGTACAGAGTGGCGAATTTATCAAAATCCTTACCAGTCCTTAAATCAGCTAATACCAAATATCTGAAACTTAGCCGTACTTATGTAAAGGCAACAACCGGCACTAAAGCAACCAACACTCGCCCGTAAAATACCATTATTGCTTAACATGCGCATTTGCATATTCCGCATAAAGAAAATTTAGATCCATTGACATTATCATTCTGCCACATGTTATCCCGATAAGATGCGCTGGCTAGCCTTTTGCTTAATTTATTAGTGACATAGAGACCCGCATGCCTAATCAATATATAAACCGGACACGCTATAAAAAGGAGTTTTCCATCTCCTGCTTATGATCATCCTCCCTCAAATGACCGTCCCCTTTGCTGCTACTGCTCGTGCTGTTGTTGTCACTCGAATATGGTACCACAGAGCTGTACATATGGTTGTAGTCGCCAACAACTCCCAAGTGTCCAATGAAGGTTACGATAGAGTACAGGTGAAGCTGTCTCAACACCTGGTCATACGCACCGGCTCTATAAACATTGGGCATCATTATCGCTGGTAGCTCTTCCTGTGTTCCAGCATCTCGCCCGTTGAAACAAAGCCCCCCTAGTGGCAACGTTATTCGTATCCTCCTCTCGAGTTTCCCCGAACTTACTCGTGTCCCTCTAGCATTTCTATTGTAGTTATTCTCGACGACTGCTTTTCACCCCAGGGGATCGAAACAAAGCGCAACGTACGCTTGACCCCAATTCGATTTGGTCACCATTGTAAGCTCCTTTTCGTCCTTCTGCTAGGCAAGTAAACTGCTTACGCCAGCCTCATCCAATCTATCCAGCACCTGCAACTCACCCCCTCAACGATACGCAAGTATCATCCCAAAGGCACAGCATACTACAAAAGTTACTACAGTATGTACGTAGTGTTAGATGTACTGCTAACGAAACTTCAACTTGCTTCAATCGAGTAACTGAATGACGCAGTCATAACGGAAAACTGCTAAGTGATCACTTTATACTTTCCTGTTTCGAACAAAAAAGGACATAGAAGCAGTTAATTTGAACAGCCTTTTCTATTGTATTCGATTGGCGTATTTTACTGTCTTATCTGGATTTCGAACGTTGACTCTTGGCTTTTGTCCAAATTTTTCCCATTGTAATGATTCCGAATCCATTGAAATATCTATTGTATTTTCAAGGGACAACGTTCCGGACAGAGACCCATTCACGGCATTTGAAAATGAGTGGATGAGTGCTGGCTTCCTCGAAACTGCTACAGAGGCAAACTTTCTATCGTCCTATCGGCTTCATTATCAGAGGTTTCTCCCTATGTTCAAGAGCCACCCAGTCATTTTGTCACTGCGTATTTACTGCTTGGTGAGGTCGAGTGCATTTCGCTGTCAAGGCACCAATAATTGCTGATATCGCCCGGAAATGGAAAGCTCACATTCAAAATGATCATACTGCCTGCAGACAGAAGGTCCTCTGGAACCGTTGTTTATACTATCGAATATAGCAGCTGGTGATATCCAGAGCTGATGATGTTAAACTAGTGTAGGTTTTTATAAATCATAGAGTAATATCCGACTTATGTAGTGTTTGACGCTGAAACTAATCGAATGTATGTACGCTGATTGGTTTCTTCGGGGACAGCTAAGGTAGCCATTTATCTATTCTATACAAAGATATTCGTATTTGACAAGCGATGAAATTTTAGTTTTTCACTGCATTAGTGAGCCATCAGTAATTTTCGAAAACCCATTTATAACACATTGAATATTTATTCCGCCGATATAAACGTTTATCTTTTTATCTGTACCGGGGTTGATGTGGAGTTTGTACAGTTTAGTTACAACAGCCGCGATACCCTGACGTAGATACTCGCAGTTACATCCTGCCGTTTACGTCTCTATCTACTTATCGCGATAACTGCTTGCCGCCCTTCCGGTGGATCCCCGCACGGATCATACGAGATACACCTATCTTGTATTCTTCAAGGCTCTATGCCTAATTCTCTTTGACTATGTTGCATGTATTCAGACTTACGGCGGAATTCGACTGCAGATAGTTTGTGGTATGCTGTTGCCTTATCTTTCGTTGTTTGAGTTGCGACCATTGCACACTATGTTTCAGCATTATTTACGACTCCTATCTCAGCCAAATAGTCAGCGACAGTCAACACTCTGTAACAACTTTTCTGCTTCCCTGCAGACTCCTATCTCGTCTATGACAGTTTCGTATCTAGCGCTTTTCATGTACTAATCCTAGAGGTAGATAAGTCCTACAACTTTATGCCCGATAATGCTATGTTCAAAAGTATGATATAATATCAACTAGGTCGGATACTCAAATTTGAACAAAGTGTAATCTAGCGTTTCTCGCAGTTGTTTCTGCAGTTGAATACCGTTTTTTCTTTCCCGCTACGCCAGGAATATTCCTTATCAAACTTTACTATCTGATATAACTATCAAAATGCACCGGTATTAAGTTTTTCTACGATTATGTCATGTAGAATAAACTGTCGTTCACGTAGGGGAGTGGGCAGTTTTATAGTTCCGTCATTAAAAATACGCTATAGGTAGCGATTTCTCTTCTATGCGATAGTCTACTTTCATCAGTTGCTGAGTCTGAATAATCAAACTGACATCGTCAAAGTAACGATAATATGGTTTAGTCAACGTAAAACGTACATAAGTAGTGAAAATAATTGCCATTTATCCTTGTTTACTATGGCATGAAGCTAAATTCGTCTACTACAAACGCTACCAGCTCGTTTATTTTACAGCTATAAATTGTATTTGTTTCGAGATTTTTATCCTTCCGGGAGATTTTTATCCTTCCGGAGACCCAAGTACTATTTGTTCAGTAGAATTTTATAGTAATTTTTGATTACGTTTATTGTTTCTTGAATAGTTAAATTAATGAAAGAACTGGTTTTGAGGTGAAAAAATTACATTTTAATTTCAACATGCGTGCATTTTGTTATACTGCCTGATGAAATGGCTGAAGGAAATCGGTTTTCAACATACTCATTTGTCCATATGTTTCTACATGGTGCTTACATATACGCTTCTGAAATGAAATGGCCCGTCGTACTAAGTATTTTCATGGGCGCTTAGTCTTTATGCGTATGAACGGCTCAACAATGTGCAACCAATCCTCAGCTACTTCAGCCTTAGGTTCGTGCATGTCCCGTTGTCTTCTCACTCATGTTGTCTCGTGCGTCTCCCTCCCCTATGTTGCGGTATGTACCCTAACTTACTCCGCGTGCGAGGTACTACTAATGTTGTGATCAAGGAAAATAGTATTATGGTAATAATACCCCCTGTCCATGACCGGATTAGACGCAAACAGTCAAATGTGCAAATACGGCCACCCCGAGACATAAGCGACCTAGCCTAGTTCCTCACCGTTGTCGTCACCATCGTTCCTCGTGCAGCAAGCGCAGTAGTGGTGCTTGTTTTGATCCCTCTGCGGCTCACTTACGCATTCGAGTTGTTGCCTAATTCCTATCTACTGCTACTACCTGTGTACACTACAGAGCGTTGGGAAACTGCGGCCGGCAAAATTTCTTATCTTATTGCCCAAGGCGACCGTAAGAAAGAACCAGTAACAGAAGGGGGCAAATGGGGATCTCTCTCCGTTCACCTTTGTTGTGCTTCTTCGGCAGGAGGAGGAGGAAGGAGCGAAAGAGGACGAGCACCGTTGAGTTTTAATCCATGTGCAGTGGCCAGCACAGGAGGCCGGGCTAGACTTCCAACAGGCGGGACAAGGCATGCTTTTGATGGGTGCCGTCGTTTACGCCGTCGTCCTTCCCCGTCCCCTTCACCTCTGTTCTTGTGCTCAAGAAAGCGTGACGCAGGCAGCAGTTTTCCCGTGGGTCGTCGGATCCTATTATCCAATTATACGGAGAGGATGGCCACCTTCATACACGAGAGAGGACGAGTCTTGCCCATTGACGAAACCAGCTTTTACCTAGAACAGAGTCAAGGGAAGATTATACGGCACGCTATAAGACCACAAACACAAACATCACCCATCGAGGCAGCAAAAAAGAGGACAGAAACACGAAAAGAGGGTCAATGCATTAGATCGGTGGGGAGAAACGAAAAGATGGAGTGCAAAGCCGGTGAGGGAAGAGGGTTTCCAAGATGAGGGCTCCTTTAGAGGAGCAGGCAGACATTTACCACCTGCTACTGAGAAACCGAGCCATCATATATGATGAGATTGAGTTTTATGTTATATATATATATATATCTATCTATCTCATCATATACAATGGCTCTGTTTTAAGATGCACGTCATGCGTAATATATATATATATATATATTACGCATGACGTTCGTCTTATTGTCGAATTAGTAGCGCGAAATTAGAAAAATGCTGTACGCATAGTATAACAATTATGCAAAATGTATATTCTTCATTATATATAGCTTACAAGGTATGTCAGGTACCTTTGTCGCGTCAGAATTCGACAGCCTGTCACTTACAATGTACAAAAAATAACGGTTGTCTGTCGCATGCTACGTTGCGTGGTACTGAGCCAATCTGCATTTCCTTTAATAAATAAAAAAATGCATTATTTAGAATCAGCTTCTAAGAGCCATTTAGCTCTCCTTGTAACAGCCTCCGCTTTTGCCAGATACCAGTATAAACACGACGTATTATTTCCGTTACGGCCGCAACCAATTTCGCATCATCTATTAATACTTCTGCATATAATCTATAATAATAGGCAAATGTACAGCTGTCGTAGTGTATCAAGTCCTTTTTCATAATGTATTCATTTTTAAGCAGTACATTTTTAACTTTTTCTTTACTGGAGAAAGCATTATATATAGAAAGAATTTTGAAGCTGGACTCGAATTCCCTGAAGCACTTTCAGGCGATGTTCATAGACGGGATCGCTCTATTGTCATGACAGTCTCTGAATGCTTTTACGACCCACTGGATGAAAAAAAGCTGGAAGAATAAGAAAAATTGGCACTCGTCTACTATAATTTTTATACTTTAGAGATAATCCGCAAGGTCGCTAATGTCACGACGCGACCTACATTTCACATTGTACCATGTAGAAAGCGCCGTCGGTCGACGAAACCGTTTTTCTTTGAGTCAACCTTCAAATGCGTTCGCGTTCCTATCCACTTAGATTTATTTCGTATGCTAGAAGCGTATCGCACCCACTTGAAGTTTTTGCGGCCACAAATTCCGTGCTTAAGCCCTCGGAAGTAAATCCAGTAACTAGCTTTAGCTTAGTAAAACGGTATCGTTCAAAGCGTTCTATGTATCTTCAGTGTGATACCGGTTAATGCAAAACTGGTGCATGGTATTCGAAACGCAAGTTCTCACAATTGTACACGGCATATACAGAAATGTACGATAAGAATATGCTAGCACTTTACTATTGTGATCCTAATGGTACATTAATTTCATGGAATACCAGGTTCTTGTTCTAACAAATATCGTTTCTATTGTAAAAAAAGTACGCAAAATGATTAAAAAAAGACGTATGTATGCAGTTACTCAGTCTTGGATACCGTTTTCGCAAACTATGTAGATTATCTCAAAAAAATTATCTCCTCAAAAAAACACAGGCTTTTGGTGAGACTGGGTAATGGAGAAAAGCTTGCGAGAACTAACACTTAACTCATCGGTATACAGAAGCCTAGTCTTCAACCGAACATCGTCCTAGATTACCTTTATTTTCCCTTTTTTATATTTCGAATTGCATGAAGGTTTTGCGAAACACGCTAACTGTATTTTGTTACCACGATCTTTTTTGTGTATCGCTTTCATATCTTCAACCTGAACTAGCCCTTACGACCATTTGAAGTGTTCTTCAGGTTGGAACGAGGTCAGTCCTCGAGAGGATAGATTTTCCATAGAGACAAAGGACGCCTTCGCTAGCAACACCAGTTCTCTAAGCTTCAGCATAAACCTTTAGCACTATCAAGGTTCAGAGCATGAAAAGCAACGAGGAGATTAGGTAATTCCAATAGAATCTATTTCAAAATAATCATATCTTCGTCAGTCCCTTAGACAGATGTTGTACTCTTTCCGTTTATAGTTTGAGCACCGACAGAAAAGGCGGCACAACTCATTGTTGCCTAGCTATTGCGACATGAAGTTCCGACATTCGCGCCGTTGCATAATACTTTCATATCGACGTAAAACTATGTTCTTCGTGTCCCTCACTTTTGATGACTCCTTTACTCGCCATTTTTGAGATCATAATCTCATTATACGTCCTTGCATAAATGTATTCAAAGAAATATCCAAACTTCAAATAGAAATACTCGAGAAATATGATGTACGCGAAAAAGAACTTTAACTAAACGATCCAGGTACAGTAAATTTAAGGCACGTTAAGGGCCAAATCAAATAGAGTATGACAAAGCCTCGTTGGTGCACTGCAGCGATACACAACTAATACAAGGCTTTAAAAGGTTATAAATCTTAAAGCAAGTTTTTAAAGTAATGTCTTTGTTTTTACGCTTTTTTTTCGTATACCATTTAAGAGCCCTTTCTCCTGCATTAGCCTGTTGTATAATGTTTTTATTTTGTAACACAATTTTATTTTGGGTTTAGCCTCTAAAGATGATTGTTCCTGGGAAAAAAAACATACGTTTCTGAGTTCTACTTTACTTTGCCTTTTCCTTAGGTCAAAAAGGTAAAAAGGATATATATGTCGTGTTCAGTACGAGAGTGTGTCGTGATAACTGCTTAAAGGAAGTTTGTTAAGCTCGATAGCGGCACTTTTGTCCTGAAGGATGCATTCCGCCTTGGTCGACTTTTGAAGGCCTTCATCGACTTGCGTTACGGATATCCAATAATCGTTGAATAACTTGAAGCTAGGGGATTGTATTTAAGACAAGCTGAAGGGCGCCAAAGAATACAGTTTCTTATTATCTCGCCCGATACTGCGCAACACACAAATACAGTGACAGATCACTGTTGTGGATGAAAAGAAGTGATGTTCCTACGCTACGGTCTCTTCCGATCGCTAACAAATAAGATTTGCCGTACATGTGACGATGAATACAATCTCAAAAACATGCTGGACGAACTCGTCAACATCAGACCAGAAAATTTTCGGCTAAACGGGATGGAAGTACGTTGTAGGAATGATGACATATTCACAATAAATGAATTCGACTGTGACGCCACGTTTTTTTGTTCTGACCACCCAATTAGATAAACAAAAATTATCCTGTCAAAATATTTCAGCCGCTTACTTATAGGTAAATTAGAGGTAACAAAAGAATTATTAAACAAATGCAAATCGTGAATGGTTATACAGCTCCGTAAAATAATAGTACGTGTGAGGACATCGTTACGTTAAATCATACGCCCTCAACGTCTACCATAAGTCATATTGACCACATATGATTTCCTATAAATTCAATACTTCAAAATTTATAGTTGCATACGTAGGTTATGACGTCAACTCAGTTATCCGTATTTTCCGGTGTATGATGATTCCAGACCATGCTTTTTGCATCCTTCGTCTCCACCTTTTGATCTACTGCCGTGAGCTGATGATTTAGGTCGACACCTGGCTAAGGGGCTCCGTTTTGACTCCATATATGAATGAGAAAGCAAGCTAGTCATTAACTAATTCTATGGTGTGTAAGGTACAGCAAGCAAATCAATTTGAATTCAGGTTATAGTGTAGAATGGTTAGAGCACTATTCGAAGCATCTCTAGATAGCTTGACGATGTCGTGTGTCTCTAGGCGTAGAATTGTGTAAAGATTTTCTAAAGCGGTCGTGAGCCACCGAAAAACGAGTAGCTAATAAATAACAGATCTCTACATGGCATTTTTATTTTTTCTAAATTGATCCAGTTTATTAGGGTAGTACCTGTATAGCACGCAGCATGATACAGCTGTTAAGCGACCCGGGGGCATGGCTTCCAGGTCTGCCATGTGTGATTTGTCCTTGGAATTGTTGGCTGTATCTTCGTCTAGAAGGAAGCTGTAACGGCTCTAGCTGACACGTCAATGGAAACAAACCGCATACCTTGCTAAGCGAGCAAAGTGAGTACTCCAGGGTCTAATTTGTGGAGTTTCTGGTCAAACTAGGACTGTGTTTCACTTTGCAGAAGGTGTCTTGGCACTTGATATAGGAGCTGGAGGTAAAAATTTGACTGGGTTAGTCTAGAAGAGCTTCCGTGACTTTACCTACAGATACATTAGGTTCACTACAAAGGCATTTTGACTGGTCCTGTTGAAACGCCCAAGTCATCTTCTGATTTAGCGCCAACAAGGCTTAATACGCACAATACGTGACATGAAAAGGCCTTAGCTAACATGATTCTCCTTAGTAATCGGAAATCAAAAATATCGCTTGTTGAGGTTTTTAATCGACGAGTTAACATTTGACAGTTCGCAGCTTAATAATTTCGCAGTAAACATCATGTCGATATTTCTAGAGGGATGCAAAAGTACGTTTTTACAGTAAATGTCTTATGATATCACTTGGCTTGGTCTACCTAGCCAGCATTGTTCCTGATTGTTCTTACTTTACCAAAGCATATCTATAGCGATCCGGAGTGTTTCTATATTCGCTGAACCGTCGAAGCGGTTTTGCAATGTTTTTGAGATGCATAGCTAGTGCTGAAACGACGTAGCATGCGATGACCAGACCATAAGCCTTGTAGTATTGGCTTTTTTTTATTCGTATTGTTTGTAGCGTTACTGGACGCAAGAAAATCGCTCTAGCCGAAGGTGACTACGATTAGTACTACCTTCTATTTTCACTATGGAAAACGTTTACCATTAGGGGTTCGCTCACTAATGATTGATGTCCGCGAAGTGAATCCGCTTAGACGAGAATGGTGTCGTTCACTTGAAGGCTCAAATCAGCTTCTTTTTCGTTCGCCGCTTTAAATATAGACCATTTAAAGAAGAAGGCGATGCACACATCACTAATCCAACTTATCCAATATGACTCTGAAATCCCTATCTAATATTTTAGATTCTTCCTACCAGAAACAGATCCTGCACTATTAATGCTAATGTCTGTCTAGTCGTTGTTGCAAGGCCATTCTGCCTCGGCAACCTCTTGTAATCTATTACAAAGAAAAACAATTATTAAAGTATAACTTATTGTCTCAAGTATGGAATTGCTGATTTCGCCGCATTCGACGATCTAAGTATTAAGTTTAATGAAGCTCAGAAATCGTGCTACCAAGATGTACAAATATCCAGTAAGATCCTTTTTTGCATATCTGTAGAATGAGCCGCTTTTCCATATATAACCAATGCATATACGTTGTTAATTACGAGTTATATCAAAAACGTCCAAAGGGGGTAATGATAAGGGATGCTGGTGCTTCTATAGTGTTTATAGTGTTCTCATACACACATACTTGTATGCCTATTCGTCTACGGAACGCTCCCGAATAACGGCGCCTATGGTTCTTCAGATGAATGAAATATTTGTCAAATAATAATAACCGTAGAATAAGGTACCATATGTATGCCCACTGTGTTAAGGACAGAAACATGTGGTAGTACTATAAAAGCGAGTACAGTTGCAATTAGGATGTAGAAACGCACTTTTTCATTGAAATTTCCTCTGATCATCTGCATACATATACACAAATAACTCGTTTCTGCACACCTATTCATGATTTAGTTGTTGCAGCATGAGTGGCTCAGTTTCAGCAGTAACGGACTCTCACAGCTCGGTTCGCGATCTAAAACCGCAGGAAGTTCACTCCATAGTTTGGTCTGGAAACAGTTGGCCCGTATAGCTTTAAACCGAAATTGTTGGAAATCGGGTGATTAACCTCTTCGCAGCTTTATGCCTCATTTATTTTAATATGGAGTTTAACTTAATCCCATATTGATCGTAAGATGGTTCTAAATACAGAACAAAAGAATTATTTGACGCGATGTTACGCATATGTTTAGACCAATTGGCCAAAAATGATGGTGCAGCTCGTCCATTGAGTATATATGATTACAATCATTGTTCCCAGATAGGATTGAACGAAGAGCACGGAATATCTTTGGTTTTAAATAAAAGCGCCACGGAGATCCATAAGTCGCGGTGGTGCCGCGACGTATGGATCTCCGTGGACAAAACCATTCGGATTATCTAGTAGTATCTGGATAACATATATTCGTTATTCAGTTATGTTAACTTATTAAGATCGCCTTCTATTCGTTTCATTTCTTATTTATTATGCTCCATATTTAAAACAACATTCTGTATAGCCGCAAATATTCCGCTGCGTAAACGATAAAAATAGGTGTGAAACTATTTAATAACACCGAGGCGGCGCCTACACAAATTACGATCTGAGTCACGCAGGTATTTTCAAGACCGACAAGGCTAAACAAGCAAGCTCTTATGATAGACGAAATGAAAGCACGCGACGATTTGTGTTTTGTAATTACGATTGTCTTTTGACCATATTGGTGCACGTTTAAGGTAACGGACTGCACGCTTCACGAGTCTACAACATCTTACGTTTAAAAATAACTTGATTTATCAATCTACTCATTTGTATACTTAATTCAAACATGAACAGTAAAGGAAGTACTATTACAAAGCTCAACAAGCATTTCAGATCAAATAAGCATGAGCATTTCCTCTTAAGAAGATCCAGCCCTGATCATAGATTTTCATTTTAGAGCAGTCGACAAATAATGAAAAGTTATAACTTGTTAAAGCTAGACACATGTTACATTACGCTTATTTTAAAGTATAAGGTAACATTGTTGTAAATTGTTCCTATCTCATATCTTATAAAATGATGGACACTTAACGACACCTATGCGAAACACTAAAGAAAAAGTTTTTGCTTTTTCATTTGGTACTTTTTAATTATTTAATTTAATTAGTCTGTGAAGGATAAAAACATAAATTCGTCTTATCCAAATTGATATTTTTCTAGAAGTAACCGATTATTCAAATAAGTACGGTTAAGTATAACATACACATGCACGCAAACGCACGAAATTGACATTAATGAAAAAATAATATAATTGTTTTCAGTGAAAATAAGTAACTGTTTGTTAGGGGTGAAGATTGCCATAATCTTAGAAACTGGAAGATTGAACGAAGATTCATCTTACAGCTTCCCTGGAAACTAGCAAAAGCAACAGGCTCACTAAGCTAATCCGATCACCATAATCGTTATGCCTAGCGGTGTTGAGCAGTGCTGAACTACCTGGCGCTATGGCTTAAATCTGTATTTGATCGTAACAGAAGCTAATACAGACAAAAATATATGAAAACCATATACGAACTCCTTTCGTATCCTTCAAATAACCGGTCGCTACTTCCAACATTTGTGATGATATAACCAAACAGTTCAGCTAAAAGTGTGACTGGTTCACCACTTCTAAGATCCTTGCTAGATACTAAATTGAAGACTAAGGTAAATTGTATTTATGTACCACTCAAATTTGTATCAATGTTTCGTATATTCAAGTGGAGACTGAGTAAAACCCAAAGGGTGCATAGTCTTAGCATTGCGCGGATACTTCAGCTTCTCTAGCAATAATGATAAGTTTTTGATTTAATACGCCCATTTAAACGCAAGAAAATCCAGCATAACTGGTTCGAGATACTGCTCTTTCCTTTTGCTCTATTTTCTTGGAATTGATTTTAGACAAAAGTCTGAACTCATCACCTCCGATGAGAAGGCTTAACACCCCAAGCGATATACCTGCGGATACAATTATGTATTCACGAGCAGACCTATTCATATTGGAGCAACCTGAAGAACATCAGTGTGTAATAACGTATCATACATCGTCAAATTAAATGATAATGGCGTACTTCTTTGAAACATCTTCTTTCTTTTTAAGTGAAGATAAGACCCTGTAATCCAAGCACATGAGTCCTTGTGCACTTCGGCTGCTTTACAATTATTAATTCATTCGTTCATTATCCTATACTTATTTATCAGCAACCGCCGCAGCCGCCGCGGCTGCTGCTCTAGTCGAATTAGTTATTCCCGTACCCACCCCAGCGGCTGCTTTAGTCGAACCAGCTGCTGCTGCCACTGCTGCGGCGACATTAGCTGCTGCTGCTGTTGCCGAACCAGCTGATATTATAGTCGGTCGAGCTGTTGCTGTAGTGGAACCAGCTTCGACTGCGGCCGAATCAGCTGCCGCTGTCAAACCAGCTGGCGCTGGCAAACCAGCTGCCGTTTGCAGACCAGCTGCTCTTGGCAAACCAGTTGTTGTTACCAATCCAGCTTCTGTTGGCAATCCAACTGCCGCTCTCAAACCAGTTGTTGTTGCCAACCCAGCTTCTGTTGGCAAACCAGCTGCCGCTGGCAAACTAGTTGCAGTTGCCAATCCAGCTTCTGTTAGCAAACCAGTTATTGTGGCCAACCCAGCTTCTGTTAGCAAACCAGCTTCTGCTGGCGAACCAGCCGTTGTTGCCAACCCAGCTTCTGTTGGCAAACCGGTTGCCGCTAGCAAACCAGTTGTTGTTGCCAATCCAGCTCCTGTTGGCAAACCAGCTTCCACTGGCGAACCAGCTGTTACTGTCAACCCAGCTTCTGTTGGCGAACCAGCTTTCGCTGGCGAACCAGCTGATGTTGCCAACCCAGCTTCTGTTGGCAAACTAGCTTTCGCTGGCGAACCAGCTTTCGCTGGCGAACCAGCTTTCGCTGGCGAACCAGCTGATGTTGCCAACCCAGCTTCTGTTGGCAAATCAGCTGCCGCTAGCAAACCAGCCGTTGTTGCCAATCCAGCTGCTGCTGGCGAACCAGCTGCCGCTGGCAAACCAGCCGTTGTTGCCAATCCGGCTGCTGCTGGCGAACCAGCTGCCACCGGCAAGCCAGCTGTTGTTGCCAACAAAGCTTCTGTTGGCAAACCAGCTGTTGTTGTCAGCCCAGCTGCTGTTAGCAAACCAGCTGCCGCTGGCAAATCAGCTGTTGTTGCCAATCCAGCGCTGCTGGCGAACCAGCTGCCACTGGCAAGCCAGCTGTTGTTGCCAACCCAGCTGCTGCTGGCGAACCAGCTGTTGTTGTCAACCCAGCTGCTGTTAGCAAACCAGCTCCCGCTGAAAAATCAGCTGTTGTTGCCAATCCAGCTGCTGCTGGCGAACCAGCTGCCGCTGGCAAACCAGCCGTTGTTGCCAATCCAGCTGCTGCTGGCGAACCAGCTGTTGTTGCCAATCCAGCTGCTGCTGGCGAACCAGCTGCCGCTGGCAAACCAGCGTTGTTGCCAATCCAGCTGCTGCTGGCGAACCAGCTGTTGTTGTCAACCCAGCTGCTGTTAGCAAGCCGCTCCGGCTGAAAAATCAGCTGTTGTTGCCAGTCCAGCTGCTGCTGGCGTACCACCTGCCGCTGGCAAACCAGCCGTTGTTGCCAATCCAGCTGCTGCTGGCGAACCAGCTGTTGTTGCCAACCCAACCTCTGTTAGCAAACCAGCTGCTCCTGGCAAACCAGTTGTTGCCAATCCAGCTTCTGTTGGCAAACCAGCTGTTGTTGCCAACCCAGCTGCCGCTGGTAAACCAGCTGTTGTTGCCAACCCGAATTCTGTTAGCAAACCAGCTGTTGTTGCTAATCCAGCTGCTGCTGGCGACCCAGCTGTTGTTACTAACCCTGCTGCTGTTGGTAAACTAGCTGCTGCTGGCAAACCAGCTGCTGTTGCCAACCCAGCTTCGATTGGTAAACCAGCTGCTGCTGGCAAACCAGCTATTGTTGCCAATCCAGCTGCTGCTGGCAAACCAGCTGTTGTTGCCAACCCAGCTTCTCTTGGCAAATCAACTGTTGTTGTCAATCCAGCTGCTGTTGGTAAACTAGCTGCTACTGGCGAACCAGCTGTTGTTGCCAATCCAGCTGCTGCTGGCGAACTAGCTGCTGTTGTTGTTGAACCAGTTGCTGTTGTTGCTGAACCAGCTATTGTTGTCAACCCAGCTGCTGCTAGCGAACCAGCTGCTGCTGTTGTTGCACCAGTTGCTGTTGTTGCCAACCCAGCTGCTGTTAGCAAACCAGCTCCCGCTGAAAAATCAGCTGTTGTTGCCAATCCAGCTGCTGCTGGCGAATCAGCTGCCGCTGGCAAACCAGCTGTTGCCGCCAACCCAGCTGCTATTGGCGAACCAGCTGCCGCTGGCAAACCAGCTGTTGGTACCAACCCAGCTGCTGCTGGCAAACCAGTTGTTGTTGCCAATCCAGCTTCTGTTGGCAAACCAGCTGCCACTGGCAAACCAGCCGTTGTTACCAGTCCAGCTGCTGCTGGTGAACCAGCTGCTGTTGTTGTTGAACCAGTTGCTGCTGTTGTTGAACCAGTTGCTGTTGTTGTTGAACCAGCTGCTGCTGTTGCTGAGCCAGCTACTGCTGTAGTCAATTGAGCTGTTTCTGTAGTCATCCCAGCCGTTGCTATAGTGGAACCAACTTCTACTTCGGCCGACTCAGCTGCTGTTGTTGCTGGACCAAGTGCTGTTGTTGCTGAAGCAGCTGCTGTTGTTGTTGCTGAACCTGTTGCTTTTGTCGCTGAACCAGCTGCTATTATTGATGAACCAGCTGCTGTTGTTGCTGAGCCAGCTGTTGCTGTAGTCAGTTGAGTTCTTTCTGTAGTCATCCCAGCCGTTGCTGTAGTGGAACCAACTTCTACTGCGGCCGAATCAGCTGCTGCCGGTGAGCCAGCTGCTGTTGTTGCTGAGCCAGTTACTGCTGTAGTCGAATGAGCCATTGCTCGAATCAAATCAGTTGCTGCTATAGTCAAACCAACTGCGCCTGTAGTCAAATCAACCGATGCTGTACTTGAATTAGCTACAGGTTTAATAGCATCAACAGCTTTAGTGGGCGCTCCTCGAGCCGCAGTTACCGTGAAAGTTGAAAACCTTCCCGTAGCAATAGTCGCTGATGGAAATAGGGTTGTTGGAACCCTCGACGAACTAGCGACGCAGCGACCATTCTGTAGCCTGAAGCCGTCCTTACAGATGCATGCTGGCCGGCAAATAAACAGACACTTCCTGCAGGGGCCTGGTAGACTTGCACATTTGACTAAGCGCTGGTTTGCTCCACATCGAACAGCTCTGCCAAATACTACGGAGTTTGATGGATTGTTTGGGACATGGCAGCGACAACAGACACGAAAAAAAGATTATTAGCGGTAATTAATGACAATAAAAGAGAGACAAAAAATATAGACCTCGGTGCTCAAACTTAAAGGTACAGAAATACAGATTATCGGTATAGCTTCAAATTTTCGAAAAAACGACAAACCGTTTAAGAGACAGTTTGGGGGTATCGGGGAGCAATACTCGTTGAAAAAACCTGATATTTTGACTGAGCACAATCGTGCCCTACTGTTAATATTTTGTTTTTATTCCAGTTATGGATAAAGGAAACGTAGTTAAAGATAAGTGTAAATTGCCTAAATTGTCCAAAAGTATTTAAGCAAAGGCATGCAATGTCAGTTTTTAGTGTACTAGACTAATTAAACGGCATTGTACAAAAATATCTACTGAGCTGTGTTTTATTGCCCCTAAGAAGCGTTTAGATAAAGCGTTTATCAAATACATATATATATATATATATATATATGTCGGCGAAAAATGCTACGGGTACAGTGGCTTTCGCCGCACTTAAAAATTAAAAAACTCTCACAATGGGAGTGCACTAAAAAGAACGATAGCTAAAAAAGAATAAGATTGTATGTACAACTTTGTGTTGGATTACTGGCGTCAAATGCACTCTGTTAAAGAATTACAGTCCTCTGCATTTCAACGTTCGTCACAATGGCTGTCTCTGTGAACAAAGATTTGACGATAATTATGTAAGAGTTCAAAAAATGTTGGCCTTTAATTTTTCCGAAGGGACTGCACGTCACACAGCTGTAGAGGCGGGTATTATGCCAAGGAGAAACGCGCGTTTCGAAGCGTACACCTCATTGTACCGTTCAGATATGTAAGGCATTAATATAATACACACCTATATTCGCCATGCATATGTATGTACGTGTGTGCATGAATCGAATTAACTTACGCGTACTTTTCAAAAATATCGGCTTAACTTTTCATCCACGTTTAAATAGAGCTTCCGGGATCGCATCTTTTTTAGATTTTTTTTTCTATAATCACAAATAGAAGCGAGTTCACCCTAGTACTAGCGTTTATATATATATATGTGAGAAGAATTTTTAGTAGTAAAGGTTGTTCTCAATCGTGCAGCAGACTATAAAAACTATGTGTTGTTTTTTGGAGCACACACAGAAATAAAAACTTCAGCTAACTTGCTACCAAATAGACACTATGTATGAGCGATTAAATTAAATAGAAACACACAGAAGAATTCGTCGATACTGTTGACAGGATATGCAATATCCAGACAAAAAGACAGCGAAAAATCCAGATAGTAGAACGCAACTATAGTGTCAATGATCATGGCCATGAACAATTGCAGATACTATATACAATCAAGTTTATATTCAGACAAGTATGGGTCGACACAAAATGCTGTTTAAGGATACCAGCCCTGTACCCAGATTCACTCATCCAACTTATGAAGTAAGTCAATCCAGATGTATCTACTTACAGGATATTAATTTGGGATTAGCGTACTCCAGGAAGAAAACTAGCGTGACGAAAATTGCAAGCCGCATCATGGAAGGCACGGTAAGTCAATCGCTAGGACGAGTCTCTTCCCACGTACTAGCGTCGTTCTGTATATGCCGTCCGTGAAAGATCGAAGCCGACTGACCAATGCCTGTCTACTTTGCTCTTAAGTATTTACCTAAAGTCATACAGGTATAGTCGGCCTCAATATTTAACTAGTGACGTTAATATTAAGTTTACCCATTCCATGCTATGCAGTCTCAGCAAAACAACACGAAACGTCCTTACTTGTTAGATTCAATTTCACTTTGGAAGGTTTCCTCGCGAATAATTTCTCGCGGGCCCAATTCACCCTAGTCTAGCCCAGTCTGGCTGTAGATGATTACATTAGATTGAAGGGAGTTGCCATGACGCCTTGTTGTTGATTAACGCAGAATAACAGGCGATAAAGTAGGGTTACGAGTCAAAAAACCTATTACGTGGAATTAATTACAAGAAGTGAAATGTATTTTTGGCTCGGATTAGGAACCCAGCGGGGTACACGATCCTTAGTGGAATAGGCGGCCAATTATTATAGCTTAAGAACCCTAACAGGAGTATTCTGTTGACGCCTGCTTAGGCGCCAGGGCAGATGAAGATCGGCTAGAAAAGAGGGTGATTCAGGCAAGCAATGTTAACGGCATCTGAGTCTATTTTACGCAGCTGTGCTATGATGAATGTAGCATCTACAAACTCTTCAAAATGACGTTAACTTTCACATGTATATACAATCATAGAGTACATATACAGGACTGTCTAATGGCGCTGAACTTGGTGGCGTAACCTAGTTTAATCACTAGCTATTCGTAATTAAATGAGCTGCTAACAAAAATTCCTGCTTCGTAGCCGTAGAGGATTAAATTTTTTAATTTATGAACTTAGCTTATGGCAACGCATTTACTACAATGTTTTGATTTCATCCTTTCATCAAGGACGGGTCTAATGACAAACCGTAGCTGCTAACTCCTTATCAAACTACTCCCAATGAATGTTTTGTGTCGTATTTTAGGCTATTGAACTGATCTGGTCAACAATAATGTTATCGACGTATAGGTCGCCTGACTGTCTGACTCACAAGGAATAACTTGTATCTTGCAAGAAACTTGGGAGCGTGCCCAAAAACGTGCAATACACTCGAGAACGTCCAGTTTGTTTGGATGAAACAGCATGTTGCAACTTCGCGGAACGAAAGCAGCTAAATGGACTTGACAGCTAGATGTTTAATGAAATCTGAACACTCCGGCACACACAGCAGTCTGGTAGAAACTAACTTAAAGTACAGTATATATATTGCGAGGAACGAGGTTAAGATATTTCTTAATAGAAAAAAAAACTTACGAGATCTTATTCTTTCTCTGCAGATTTTGCAGAGATTCGTTTGCAGTTTAATCATATGCCCCTGTTGTTGTTCGATTAATGATACGTTTGCGCGCAAGAAGTATTATACGCATGAAAGAAAAATGAAATATACAGGTATCTGTAAAAAAATTTTGGTTCGATGCTCTCTATAATAGATGCCTTAAGTCCCCTTAACATGCTGTATGCAGCACAAGGATGTGTAAAAAACCTTAAAATTTCAGCTCTTATAAATGTATTGTTTTGGTTACCCAGATTAGAAATGAAAGAGCCATTGGCTCATTTTGTCGTAACGTTGACCATAATAAAAGCTCATAAAGTCGGCAATCAATGTGAAATTAGAACTTTCGAAGCTTTGTGATATTTTCGAATGTTACTTTACTACGGCCAAGTAAGTTATAATGTCGTTGAGCACCCTAGATTGCATACATTTAAATTCTAATCACGTCCAACTTATCGTCGTAATAGCAAACGAAGTTAAACTAATTTTACGCTGGGTTTCGGATCACTCAGTATACGGTGCTCAAGACAGAAAAATAATTGTAGGATCCTGTATAACATCCACAACTATCTGCGGTAATACAGTTCCCGTTTGACAATATTGTAAACTTTCTCCATTTAGGCCAGTTACCAAGCATTGTCGTTACAGCCACAAATCTAAATAGATGTATTCGAATACATAATGCAGAATTTCATGTACGACAACTATATTGACAAAAACCAGTATATGTCGATATGGCTTGGATCGTTTCATATCTGGCTGGGGAGCCAGTTGAGCAACCGCCACAAAACAGGCGTAACTTACTAAAGAAAAAGAACTAATGAGAAAGGAAGCGTTTTTTTTTGCCAGTATAAGAGAAATCGATCCAATAAAGCTACACAAGAGCCGCCAGTAACAGAATATGACTTCCATAGTGGTGCAGCGGTAACGTGTTAGCCTACTAGGTTTAGGGCAACGTAAAGTGGTGTAAGCTTAACAGGAGGTTTAGACAACCCATACCTTCTGCTGAGATGGGACAGCCATTTTTCGTTTAAAAGAATAAATTTTTAACGTAGGTCCTGGACGTAAGGCTCGAAACTCTGTTTAGTTGAACGTTAATTGCACACTGCTCCGGTCCATGCTTTTCAGGTCGGAAAAATACACATTATAGAATTGGCATAGGCGTTTCGCTACAAAATATTGACATGTACACATAGAATTTCAGTTATGTATTCGAAGCCACCACCTTTGTCATCCCTGAAACACAAAGCCTCAAAATTGATATGAGCATTCTTTGTATATATGAAACACTAGTCCAAAGTATAGCATACTTTTCGAATTCGAACCATGTAAAAACAATAGCGCTACCTAGAAAGCTTGTTTGTAGGTACTTTTGTTCAGAGAGAGTTTGTAACTTTGTTCAGAGAATGTTACGATAATTGTTCCATAAACAACTGACAGGTACGAATGTGCTTATTAACGCAAACTCGATTCCTACGTATATATACACGGGTAGATAGTGCCCGGTCACCCAAGTACGGCTAAACATTCGACGGGAGCTATTGGTATTCTGGTTCGTGATAACAAGTGAGAACCCTCCACGCAGAGCAGTCCAAGATCGCTTTGCTGTTTTTTTGCGAATGACATTTGTTGATCTTACAATCTGACGTTTATCTTACACGGCCATTCTATTAGAACCGGCCGCTTATCGGCAAAATCACTTCAAATTCCGTGTTTTGTCGTATCGACACATCACTAAAATCAGTGCACTGACCTTTTTTGTGCAGCGTTAAAATAAAGTTCTCTGTTGTACCCTTTCAGTTAGGTCCAATGGATGGATGCCTATCTAGCGTCTACTAAAATTAAAATCATAACTTTACACAGTCGCGTCCACATACATTTTTACGGTTGAAATTAATGCACTTCGAGTACTCTAATTCCAAACTAAACAACTTGAAACTTGTATTATTATGAAATAATTCTAGATTATTTATTTTTAATATTTACTTTTGTTTTTTGAACTGTATTTTTTTTCATTTAAACGTTAACAAGCGTCCAATTGTGTGGTGACTTACTTATTTCTCATGCCATTATAAGGGGAGTTTCGGCGTTTAACGATAGAATAAAGCTTCGTTGAGCGATAGCCCATTGTAAGTAGTTCTTTCGGTAAATTCTATTAAATGATTTACATTTGTTTGTTATTATGTAGTTCTTCCTCTACGGGGTCACTTTGGTGCGTACTACATGCGCATCATTATTACGAACAATTGCATACGTCATTTCGTTTTTGTAGACCGAAATCCTAAAAAAAATACATGCCTCAGTAAGTGTTGGCGCGAGACTCGTAAAGAATCCTGTGTGAAATCAGACCTCGGACTGCCCCAGGATAATGTCTACAAAAACACAGTATTACTAAATCCAAGCCGTTTAGGTAATATTAGCGACAATCTATATTATTTCCGGTAGTTGTTACCAAATACAGACAGAAGAACGTCTATTGGAAAGCGGAACAAATCCTGATAAATCCAATATAAAAGAAGCTTGAAATTTTATTCAGCTTGAAATTTAGGTCGCATTTTTTTCCTTAAATTTCGCAAAAAGTCGCAGAGTTTCCTTAAAAAATAACAAATTCTGATAAATTTTTAGTTATGTGTAGTAATATCGGAGTTATATCCAAGACTTGATTAAGAAGTGACCTATAACCTGAATAGGGCCTATAGAATTGATAACCACTGATGGTCATTGCGCATGTTCTACATATTCATTTACTGATATAGTCATTTTTCTAAAATATATAAGGAAGAACATAGAAAACAATATGCAGCTGCAGATTGTCGAATATATACAAGCATACATCCTTCATTCGCTGTAGATTATTGAGTTAGCCGAGTCTAAATTTTATTCTTAGCGAGATCGTTCTCGCCTCTTTTGTATCGTACTGAAGAAAAAAAATCTTATGTTTATTGTTCAACTTCAGGTTGCTTACAGCTCTGTGAATTGTTCTAGCCGGTAATGCGTGCGACTGCAAATCTATATATATATTATGTTTCTAATATGGTTTGACAGGGAGAGGACGGAAAGGAATTGTGGCTCGAAATGAATGAATATATTATACGAACGTGTGTTTCGAACTTGATTCTTATCCATATCTATCTTCTTCTATATATATATATATCTTAATATAATCCAGCTTTCACAGTTTAATTTGTTTTTCCAGACAAGAGTTGTTCGAATGTAAGATTAGTCGTGAGTGTATTACATGGGACGTATTTTTCGAAGTAGGAGGTGAGTCTCTTGTCTTACTTAAGTAAGCCTTTTTTTAGTATGGAATCAAATAAGATAATCTGGACATAGGGGAACGATTATGGGAAGCATGCTCAAGAGAAGCGATGTTAATTTTTCATAGACGTTTCGTATGAATAACTTTCTGATGTCAGTTACAAATGGCCTATCATGTTTAATGTAGTTGAGCTGTCCTTAGAGTTAGACTAATACGATGATAAAAAGCTCGTCAGTCAACTGGTTGTTTAAGATGGATGAGAAAAATGCCCAAAAACACTGAATATGGATCTCTCGTTTCTGAAATAAATGTACTACGCTCTAGTGAATCTCTTCTTATATTCATAGACTTTGGCCTATAACTTACTTGGTCGTTAGCTCTACTGTATAAATTTTAATGTTGTCCGAAGATGTTATCGTATTAAATGTCAAGATTCCCGAAAGAGCCGAACGAACAGATGTGATACTT